TAGCTGGCAGGATATGACCTCTGGCTCCTCATTCCACTCCATTTCTTCCGTGCTAACAGGAATTTCCTGGGTGTTTCCTTTAACGTCCTGCAGATACTCCAGATGCACCTCACTCCCCTGTGGCTGCATAATGGTTTTCCTTGAGCTCTTTCCTGCCTGGTTTTGGGGAGGTCAGACTCAAGATGCAGAAATCTGACAAATGTCTTTTGTGGCTGCAGTGTATGCACACTTTCTTGTTAGTCTATTCTGAGAGAGCCCTCAGAGAACCTTTGCTGTCCGCGTGTAGAACCTACTTTCCTTTTGTTTTTAAGATATGGTAAATATGTAGGCATCTCCTTCTCAAAACCAAGCTGTGTGGCCCCAGCATAGGGAGAATGCTCTCCATCAGTATTGCACTGTCTGGTGGAGTAAGGCTTTAAGCTTGTGTCCGTTTAGCTCAGGTTTCGGTTCACTGACTGCTGCATGGTCATATTAACATTAGAGATGTGTTTTTCCCTTTGTACTTCTCAGCAAGAGTATGTGTTCAGGAGGAGAAATATCACAGACACCTATGATACTTGAACAATTTTAGTTGGAAATGACCTTTGGAGGTGGCTCAGTCTGACCATTTGCACTTGGTGTGATTGCCTCAGGCTTTGAACTAATCTCCAGGGGTGAAAATCCCACAGCCTCACTGGGCCCCTTAAGGTCCTGATCACCTCCAGCTGAAAATAATGTCCTTGATACTGATCAGAAGATCTCCATTTTTAATTTTATATATATATAATTATTTTTTTTATTTAAGTGTGAAGCGTTGAACTGTGTAGATTTGTAGTTCCATTCTTCAGGAAATGCCAGGAGTTTCAAATGAGTATTTCTATGGGGAATGATAATGCTATTGAAATACTTGTTTACTTTCTAAACATGAAGCTTAATTTTCATCTCTTAAGCAAATTTCATATAGCACTTACCAAGATGGTGTTTTAAAACTGTTCTTTGTGTGTTAGAACACAAAAAACTGTGATTTAGTGTTAGCTTTATTTAGTAGTGCGTCTGAACTAAATGCACAAACCAAAGAATTCCTCTCTTTATTTTTTAACCAAATATTATATAAATGGTGGTATTTCTTTCTTCTGAATGATCATGATCCCATTCAGACTGGGATATGAAGACACTAATATGTGTATATAAAAAGCTGAATATGAGGGAGGAAGAACTTCTTCATGTTGAGGGTGTAGGGCACTGGAACGGCTGCCCAGGGAGGTTGTGGAGGCTCCCTCTCTGGACATAGCTAAAACCTGCCTGGGCGTGTTCCTGTCTGACCTGCTCTAGGTGAGCCTGCCTTAGCAGGGGGTTGATTAGATGATCTCCAGAGGTCCCCTGTAACCCCAATCATTCTGTGACAGTATCAACCCGTCTTGCTACTGAATCAGTCCTGTGGTTTGTGTGCTGATAAAATTTTAGTCTTCCTGTAGAGCAAGACTGATCAGATCTGTATATAAACATATGAGGTTATTAGCAAAGATGACAGACATCATCCATCTCTCACCAGTAGACATGCTGCTGAGGTATAAGAGGCACAGCCCACAGCTTCTGCTGGAGAAATAGCTTTTTATCGCCAGGGTCAGGTTGTCTCCATACCCTCCTAGCCACATGCTTTGCTACTGTTTCTCTTCAGCATCAGATTGTTGCAGAAGGTAAACCAAAATGAAAGCAGGAGAATAGCATGATGGGCAACGAAACTGTTCTCCTTTTTGTGAGTGAACTTACAAAGTAAGATCATCGAGTGGCATGAGCTGAAATAGGTGGGACTTGAATGTTTCCGTGTAACACTGGCGGAGGCCTGCAGCACTAGACACACTGTTGGCAGCACCTCTGCAAATTTTGTTTCTCTCCAAAAATCCACAAGGGATGCAGCAGTGCTGTGCATTCCTGCATGCTCCACATTGAGTACAGGGCCATGAGTTTTGTTTCAGTGACTGCAAAACTTGAATGTTACTTGATGGAAGTGTTTCCTAGACATCGTTGGTATCTGCGTGCATGTGGTTTTCAAAAGAGTTCGTATCTACCTGGAGCAATGGTTAACTTATTGCTCTGTAAGAACAGAAAGCTGTTTCCTTAAAGTGTATGAAGAGAGATAGTGGAACATCTCATTGTAGCTGCCTCATACATGGTACGGAAAAGGGTTGTTTTGATCTGAAATTAGTTGTTTAGGACAACCTTCCTCCCCTGGGGAACAATGACCAAGTTCCTGATACCCTTGTACTGAATTAAGGTGAAATGACATCAACCTACCTATTTAATACAAAATACAAGGCATGTGGTTAGATATAATAAAATTATTACTTCAGCTGGATCAGCAAGTCCTGTGCCATGTGTTTTTACTTAGGTGTAGTTAGTATTCAGTGAAAAAGAGAGAAGGGGAGAGAGAGAAAGAAAGGGAGAGGAAGAGAGAGAAGTGTCACCACCTGTGGATCCAGCCATGCCTTGTTGGTTCTCTTCACCCAGCGTATCATTGGTGGTGGGAGCTCTCCCTCTGACCTGAGCCCTGAACTTTTACGTTCATATTCTCTTGTGGTGTTATCCATAATTTTCATACAAAGCATAGAGAAGTGTTCCTGTGGTAATTATGGGCACAGTTTAGTGAGCACTGAGGATCCTCCAGCTGGTCATTGTCCCTTCTATCATGGTGTCTGCTTTGTGACTCCATCCTCTGAGTCAGCTCATCCTTAAATCATCCTTTCACATTCCTGTGGAGGCTTATCAGCTTCTAACAAAGGGGTCAGAACAATCCTATCGACACAGTATATAATAATAGCCAACATTATTATTATTTGCTTTGCTTACATTCAAGGTCTCCCATAGTCACATGCAAATGGTGCCCGAGACAAGCTCAGTTTCCCGTCTTTTACTCACACTATGGAATGTAAGCAGTGTTTGAGACAAGCTTAGTGTCCAGGTTCTCACATGGGTGAATATCCTGCACCAACTTAGTTACAGCAAAAGCCCCCTTGAAGTGAATGCTCTGCTGTTTGATATTTCTTTCCATATAGTATTTTTCCCAGGCATTTTTCCTGACAGTCCCTGTTGCACTAGCAACACCTATCTGTGCGTAGGCAACTCTGCAACCACAATGGGATGGGTAACATCCCAAAATCCAGCCAATATAGTGCTTATAGGACTCTTGATACTTTAACTTTCAATCAGTGAGTAATCTAGTTGTTTGTTTTGCAAGGTTTACAAAGATGAAAAGACTGTAGTCATCAAGGATAAATATCCCAAAGCACGTTACCACTGGCTTATCTTACCATGGGACCCCATTTCAAGCCTCAAGGCAGTCACCAGGGACCATCTTGAACTCCTGGAACATATGCATGCAGTTGGGCAAAAAATGATCGAAGAGTGCCCTGCCCGGGAGAGTCTGGAGTTCAGACTGGGCTACCATGCTATCCCCAGCATGAGGTAAGGTCACCAGGAGGAGACCCCTATATAGATTTGGGGCTGAATCAGTAACGTGAAACACTTGGCATGACACAGTGCTTCCAGAACAGAGGGGATTTCTACTGTGGCAAGGCTGTGGGTCAGGTATAGCAAGACTGACCCATATGTTTGGTGGTCTGACTGCTGAGTCACATTTACAACTGGTACTACTGCAAAAGAACTGTGAGCATTAACGTTATTTTTGTCTCATATCTACCTAATGTATTTCAGTCAGCTACATTTGCATGTAATCAGCCAGGATTTTGATTCTCCAGCCCTGAAAACCAAAAAGCATTGGAACTCTTTTACTACAGATTACTTCTTAAATTCTCAAGGTAATGATTAGAAACTGTATTTTATAACATGTAATCCTGCTTGTGGCTTTGGGCTTTTTTCCCCCCAAACAAATTCTGTTGTAATAATTGAAATATTTTATATAATTTCAGATATTGGGGAATAGCACGAAGTAAAAGTCAGCTGAATTTTGTGCCTGGTTTAAATTGGAATGCCATGATGACACACTGTGCATTTAAAGCAGTGTCAGGGGTTCTGCATGGTCCCAATACCTCTGGGTCTTTTTTTTTGTTCAGATGTGATAGAGATGGTACGAAGCAAGGGAAAAGTGATGGTGAAAGGTGATGTCTCTGAACTTCTCAAATTGCCCCTCAGATGCCATCGTTGCAAGCAACATCTCTCCACTGTCCCACAGTTAAAGGAACATCTCAAGAAACATTTGCCAAAATGACTTCGCAAGTAAATCATCCTGCAGTCTGTCTCCAGATTTCTGGCTAGAACCAAGGCCTCAGAACATTGGTGAACTTGTGTACTTTTTGTTAAGTGGAATGACAAATGTAATGTGTGAAAAAGCAACCTGGAAACAGCAGCACACTAACTGTAATCGTTCAGGCAAAACCAAACCCCAATATAAAATAAAGTGACTTCTGAATTGAAGGTGTATTTGCAGCTTTGTTGTGGTACAGCCACATTAATCTGTATATGAACTGGAGTCTGGAAGATTTCGTTTGGATTATTTTAATTCAAAAGCTGTGGCATTGAGCCCAGCTCTAGGTTTCTACTGAGAAAGCAATAAAACAGTTTCTCTTGAAGTTTGTCTTAAGTGATAATGCTGCAGAAGCTGGTAAGGCTGACACCAAGCTGTCACAGAGTATATTGAGAGTGGCTGGGAAGGAGCATCAGCTACTGTGAACTCACTCTGATGAAATTCCAGTGCTGCTGAACTTCTCCTTGGCCTGGAGCAGGCACTGCATCTCACTGCTCAGGCTTTAAGAGCGGCAGCTTTTAAGGTACAAGGATTTAACAGAAATACATGAATAACACACAGTGACCACATTTGCTGCTCCCCAGAATAATAAACTGTAGTTTGCAGTTGTTTGGCTGCATATGTTGAGGTTGGCACAGAAATTGTGTGGTTTAATGATGTCCTGTTTCTGTGCATCTAGATTTTGGTGAGCCTCTGTCATTTGATTCTTGTAAAGATGTGAACTCCCAGATAGGCAGCAGAGCAGTAGCGATTAAAATCTGTTTCTGGGTCTAGAATAGGTTTGTGGTGTTCAGTTTCATTCTAAACCCAGCTTTGACTTGTCAAGTAAGGTGCCTTCTGGGTGAAATGGCTCTCAGTAAAAGAGCAGATGGAGCTTTTGTTGTACAGGAAGAATGCTGTTCCTAACAGTGCACTGTGTGGACAGGGTGTCTTCATGTGTCTTCCATGCAGCAGCAGGTCATTACATACCCTGGTGGGGCAAATAGTGACTGTTGCTGCTGGAAAAGAACAAAGATGTTCCTGTGGTGATATGGGCAACAGTAGGGGTTGGGTGTGGCCTAATTTCAAACACTAGTCACTCTTTAGTTTCTGCTGACATTAGTAAATACTATGCCTTAGTTTATAAAACAAAACTTGAAGAAACAGAAGCACAGCCAATCCTGGGATTCACTCTTTAACACAAACTAGGGCTTCACTTAGCCCCAGAGGTGGATTGGTGCTAATGCCTCACAACAGGAACTGTTTTGGACCAAAGGCAGTTGCAAATGCTGGAGAACTGTGGTCATCCTCACATGGCAGACACAGGCCAGAAATGGAATCATCCTGTTCCACTTAAATGCACATCTTACGGCCCACGATCTGGGTGGGTGTCATGTGTTTTAGTACCTCTCAACAGGTCAAAGCGAAGTACAGATGTGCATTCCTTCTGTACGGACACAGCATGCAGCTAGGTGCATGACTGTCATATCCTTGCCTGTGGAGTGCTGATTTCTGAGGAGCAAGCCCAGGTATGGTGTCATAGGCCAGCATCATCAGCAGAACCACTGCCATCAGGTGCATGTCTGTGGCTTGTGCTGATCCAGGAAGGAGCAGTGGTAGAACAACACCACCCAGAGCGTGTCCAGCACTGTGACACAGTGGTGTCACAGCTGCCCAGGAAGCGGCTGCAGGAATGGCATCCTTACCGCCCAGCTACAAATCCACCACTACAGCTAACCTCAAGGCAATGAAGGAAACTAAAGCATTAGTTGTAGACACTGGCACGGGATACTTCAAGTGTGGCTTCGCAGGGGACCCGTGGCCTTTGTCTGTTGTTTCACCTACATTTGGTAAGCCCACGTGGGAGGCTGGGAGCAATCAAAGAGAAGCCTTTGTTGGAAAAGAGCTTCAGAATAGCAGCATATCCTCAGCACCCACCAACCCAGTAAGACATGGCACAGTGGTGGACTGGAACTCTGTCCAAGATATTTTGAAGTGTATTTTCAAGGTGGAGATGAAGATTCAGCCAGAGCACCATGCTATTTTGATGTCAGTGCCTCCCCTGTGTTCCACCACTGACAAGGGGAAATATGCTGAGATGCTGTTTGAAGGGTTCCACATGCCTGCCATACACCTTGCATACCAGTCCCATTTATCCATGTACTCTTATGGGAAAACCTCAGCTCTCGTGGTGGAAAGTGTGCATGGCGTTTTGCATGTGGTTCCTATCTATGAAGGTTATATTCTACGTAGCATCACTGGGAAAGTAGATTATGCTGGCTCAGACATCACGTTACCTCATGAAGTTACTAAATGAGTCTGGAAATGCATTCACAGAACATCAGCTAAACACCATACAAGATCTCAAAGAGAAGTGCTGTTACACCTCTCTGGATCTTAAGCAGGACTTGAGTTTGCCTGTTGAGAAACAAGAAGTGGATTACAAGCTGCCGGATGGGCACTTCATCACTGTAGGCAAGGAGAGGTTCCTTTGTGCTGAAGCACTCTTCAAAACAGAATTATTTGGCTCACAGCAGCAAGGCCTTGTGCAGCTGACACCTGCCTGTCTCAGTAAGTGCGGTGCTGATATCATCAGCAAAGTGCTGGGGAACGTCCTGCTCTGTGGGGGTAGCACTATGATGGAGGGCTTTGCTGAACGCTTCCAGAAGGAACTTGCCACGATGTTCCCCCATGACAGCCCCATCATAGCCACATCCCCTCAAAGGAAGTCTGCTGTCTGGATTGGTGGGTCTATTCTGGCCTCACTGAACTCCTTCCAGGACCTCTGGGTGCACAGGTATGAATATGAAGAACATGGTTCTACCTGTATTTTCAAGAAGTGCTTCTGAGGAAGAGACTGGATGCCTTAGAAAGACCAGTGCTGACAAAGGGTACTGAATAAATTCAAAAGCACCTCCCTTCCACCCCTTGCTGTAATTAAGAAATTTCTACCAGAGCTGTATTAGTTTTGTGATATTGTGTGCCTTAAATACTTTTTTCCTTTTGTATTTTGTACTTGATGAAGCTAGAGAGCAGACAGGTGACAAACTTCTCCTCTAGTGAGAGGATCAGGCTTCCATGAAGCAACGTTTGCTTCTTAAGCTAACTCCTTTCCTCTACTACTTCTGCACTGATGGCTTACAAACAGATGCAGTTATCAGGAATTGAAGGAAGATCCTCTGCAGAATGCAGAAGAGCAAACTCAACCTGTTTGCACAGACATCAGCTAAGGCAGTGTGTATTTTAAGATGACGTGTCACTGAGAAAAAGCATATCCTAGCAGAAACCAGGGGAAAGCAGGCTTTTGGCTGCTGCTGCAGCTGAAAAGGAGGCAGGAATTTCCCACTGGAGGCTCAAGGGTACGGGATGTGGCTACCAGCTCTACCACTCCTTAATCAAAGTTCACTCAGGAGGGAGAGGGGTAGGGGAAAACAATGGAGTTTGATGGCAAATTACCACATGAATGATTTAGAAGACTGGTCTTTCACCTGGATGGCAGATGTACAGTGATTTTGCCTTCATGGGCAGATAGGAAAATCCATCTAAGACCAAAGGGTCTTCAGCTTTGGCCATCACCACAAAGAAGAAGCACAAGTATCCATATACATACATTAAGGGAACTGCTGTGTTTGGGTACAAGCATGAAAGCTCAATGAGCTGGCAGGCAGTAGTTTCGCCTTTTGTTGAGTTCTTCAGGGGGAAACTTTCTAGACAATAGATTAGGCCATACAAGACCTCCACATTTCCTGGCATCAGGTTAAGAAATGTCAGGGATTAGTCCTTTGCTGAATTTCAGTTGCAGGGCCAGAGCCCTCCACAGCCTGGGGAGGACCATGCACTCCCTCCGACCACCCCTTTCTGCAGGTCTGAAAGACGACTTCTGTATTTCATCTGCAGCTATCTTCTGCTACCATTGTAAAGATCCAAATCCAGTAAAACCCCTGCACAGCCTTTCATGTGTTCTGCCATCTCAAGGCTTTACTCTTTGAGAATGTTCCCAGTGCAGTCACAGTGCTTGTCAACAGGGTTAAGCCATCCCTGCACTGCCACATAACTCAGAATGGCTGGAAGAACACTCCAATGCTTCATGCAACACTGACAAAGGATTGTTGTACCACTCCAACAACTCCAAGCCAGCACGGCACGTACAGTGCAAGCCCATTTGGCCATCCATCTCAGTACAATGGGGTTCTCACATCACAAAATCAATGACCTGCAGCACTAGACACATGCTAAGGCCATGCAGTAAGAACACAGCACATTGTCATGTTTTGAGGTACCTCCAGCAAGCAGGAACTGCCTTGTTTGTTCTGGCATTTTTCCACTGCACCTAACTGAAATGGCTTGCATTGCACACAGTACCTGCCAGGCCAGAATGTGGTAGCGGAGAGCTGCTACCTCTGGAGGTGTTGCCACCCTCACCTGCAGAGCTTGTCCCTGTCCTTTACTCCCAGGGCTGCTGCTGTTACCTCTTGAGCGAGGTTGCACAAGCATTCTGGGGTAAAACCTAATTCTCAGGTATGAGGTTACATCAGTTTCCAGCTGAAACCATTCCACAATACTGCACAGCATAATCAGGGTACAGCTGCTGATATGATACAGCAGCATTAACTGACCTAATCTAGGTTAGTGTAACCCAGCAGTGAGCGACACAGGATCTACCCCCTGCTTTTATTCATTCTTGCATCTCCCCAAGATCCCCCTGGTGTGAATGGGCACACTTTCAGGACAGCAATGCTGTTGGTACTGCAGGGTTCACTCTGATGTAACAAAGCGATTCTGGTGAAAATCTGGTATTACCAACATCCAGCTTCAACAGAGAAAACACAACTCATTCATTCAGCAACTACATTATGATATTGGTACAGACCTTTTCATGGGATCTCTAAGCCAGGTGCACAGCTTAAAATGTGACCTGTCATCATGGCAGGTACCATCCACACATAGGAGTGATGGCAGAAAAATCAGCCCATCCAGCACTGATGGGGTTGATTCATCTGTAGGGGAAGGAACAATGGTGGGAGATGTGGGATTCAACCTGCAGCATTCAAAGCTGCACATCCCCTTAGTCCCCAGCCTCATAAACCAGCTTTGCAGTGGGATGCGAGCAGCTGTCCACATTAACACGATGCCTTACAGGTCACAGTCAACAGCTGCATCAGATGGAGGGACCCTTCTCTTGCACAGCCCAAGAACAGTTTATCAGAAACATCAGGACAAGGGTTTCCGTAAAGATGTAATGAAATTATATTAAAAGTTACATCTCAAAGTCCACTGGGATTTCTTGCTTTTAGTTACTGGAGAAGATGCAGTTTCCATAGTAGATTTTTACTGAGTTTTGGTGGAATAAGTAATTCTGGATCTGAAAGGCAAACATGGTAAGTGTCAGAACAGAGGTAACAACCATACAGTTTCTTCAGGAGCTGTCAACTACTCTAGTTTAATTTTCTTTACGGTAAAGAACAGTGGGAAGTCTGGCACATAGCCTTTCCCTTTAGTGGCTGATGACCTGCCTGCACAGGGAAGAGTACCCCAAGCAGAACTGCTTTCAGAAATAAATCTATGAGGCAGATCAAGTCCCCTCTCCGTTAAGTGTGATTGTTCAGAACAAGGAGGCAACAGTCAATGGCAGAAAGCAGAATTCTCTTCATTCACCAGTAACAGAAGCATCACACACAACAGTCAGCTGGCTCTGAAGAAGCAGCACAAGTTTTTTCCCTGGCAAGTGGCAACAGGCAGATCGCATCTAGAGGTTTAATAGAGGATTTCTCCAGGTAGTTCCTGGGTTAGCAGTGGAACAGACTGTAGAACTAGTGGGGAAGAGGTAAGACAGGGAGGTGGAACCAGCCCTTGTAGGTCTCTTGGCCTTAAGGTTGTATTTGCAAGGACTTTGAATGGCAGACTGTAGCCTGGCCTGCTCAAGAGCCTGGCCTGGCTGCCAAAGCCAGACAGAAAAAAATCAGAGGGTAAGTTACAAGCAGAATTATCCAAACATCCCCTAAGAAATCAGACTTCCATTTTCCTCATAACAGACAAAAAGTACACACAAGGAATTAAGGAGCACAATCCAGAGAGGAATTTTAGCAAAGTACTTCAGAGCAAATGAAACCTTATTAAGACGGCTGCTCACCTGCCACAAGGCAGGAGGGTATAACCCTAAAGAAAAACAAGAAGCTCCTACAATTATTGGCAGGTAGCAATGCTTGGAAAGCCTCAAGCCCACTGACCTCAATGAGATTTCACACCCACACCTAACTCAGAGTCTAAACTAACCTTGTACAACAGGAGTCACCATCCTCTTCTGCTGATAGGCAGCCATAATGCTGTTTGCCGTTGAATTGGGTCCCAGGACCTGTATGAAGAAGCAATACCCATGTTCCAACGTGCACAAAGCAAGCTGAGAGCAGGGATAGCTACAAATAAAACCCTGCTACTAGTCTCCAAAAGCATAAGCAGCTGCCTGCAGGAGACCTCACAGTACAAAGTGACCAGGAATATGTGATCAAAGTCCAGTGATCTCTCAGAAAAGTTAACAGAGGGAGAAAGAGAGGACCACTTTCAGACAGCTTCTCAGGACACAGAATCCTAATCCCAGCACCTACTTCTTCACTGCACTGTGTCATGACTTGGTAGGACTACTTTCATTACAGTTCTAGCAATATTTAAAGCTCTTTTGAGAGCTTCAGCTCTCTGTCTCACAGGAACAGTTTTAATCTGTCCTTAGAGTCAGTAGTTAGAGAGAAGATACCGCCAAATACCTTATCCTCACCACGAATGCCCAGAAACTACTTATCAGAAATAAAGACTTTTACTTGGGAAGGGAACTAAGTGCAGTCCCTGTGATTTCCTTGTTCTGTGTTAAGCTGAAGTTTGGAAGCCTGACATAACCCTTCTTTTTTGCAATATACTCCTTATGATACACTGGTTCAGACTAAATTGACCAGTCTGGTAGCCTTCACAACATTAGGTCTGACAACCAGTACCCCAGTAGATGAAAGCTATGCAAACACTTCAACTACCAGGCCTAAAATCACCCAAAATATAACAGTGCTTTCATGTTCTACAAATTGCTTAAAGTAGAGCTTATGAAGCCACCCCTAGGACAAGATAACACAAGCACTATGAGACCTCACTATAACCAACGTGGCATTCAGTTCAAGGGACACAGCAGGCTGTACCTGTAGTACGCATCTAGAGTGCACTGACTTTGCAGGTACTGTACAGACTATCTATTTGAGCTCTTCAGAAAAAAAAAAAAAGAGCAGATCTGGGAAGCCAAGGAAGCTTTCTGGACTCTTTACTGGAGGATGCAAAATACTGCTAAACACTTGGTTATTGCATAGCAGACACAATAGGTATTGCAGATGAGCACAGACCAGGTTGACAGAGCTCTGCTGTAGGTCTGGAGTCCAGATTTCTGGGATGGAGATCTCCATCAGCTGCAAAATATCTTCCAGGGCTTGCTGCAGTGCCCTTGCTTGCTCATTATAACCAAACAACACAAGCTGCTTCAGAAGAATATGTATGTCTCCTGCAAGAGGGAACAGAAGCACAAACAAAAGCAATTAACACAGTTGTGCTACATAAACAGCTGTATTTCACTGGTTTCAGGGCACAGAAAGAGAGAATCAAATCTGAACAAGTTCTGTCCCTACCCAGCACCTCCAGTGCCTTAGTATAAATGTGAGACAGATCTGTGATAGCACTGGCAAGGCTTCACTTCTCTGCTCTCAAACTTCAAGCATGGAGAGCTTACACCATTATGTGTTCTAACAAGCACAGAGGCAGATGAGCTAAATCTAGGTCCAAGACAGGTGGTCTTACGGCCCAGGCAGCTTCTCTCCCCACCATATCCATTAAGGACAAGAGGGGGCATGCTGCCCCAGTTGTCTTTACAAGCTGTGAAGTGGACCAAGATCATCAAGTGTCGTACCCTTCACAGTCTCAACAGCACGAACGTTTTCTCCCAGGACTTC